CTGCCTTTCTCGTCTAAATTTCGAAATCTCAGAGATATGGCGAGGCCATGAGAATGCGAGGCGAGGGTATTACTGTTGTGGCAACGCCACTCGAGCTAGTCCGCTGCTCTCTACTGTGTGTGCATCAGCGCGAACATGTACGCAAGCACGTCTTTTGATTTCAACCAATAAGCGCCGACGCAACGACGTCACACACCCGACGTCACACACAACAACAGCTAAGCTAAGCTAGCCGAGACGACACTCGAAGTCGGACGGACACGTTTTTCTGCCAATCTGTGTGTTTCCCTTTTTGTCCAAATATATTTTTACGACAACTGTCTTGTCCACGGTGTCTTTTATTTGTTCCACTGGGGTTTAGCAAATGTGATGATAAAGAGACGAAAATCTCTACTGTTACTAGTGTTCGTGTCTCAACATGGCTACGCTCGTGAAAGCAAAACAACGAACTCAAACGCGTCTTTGTTCAATGTTGTCAACTAATATCCGGATTTATTTTAGGCAAATTTTCCTCAATTCTCCAGAGAGATTTTCATAAAAATGTGAAAAACCTGGAATTCCGGGAAAATCCGGAGGACTTTCATCTCTGTTATCAGCAACATGTCATCAAAACAGACAGTTAGTGAAGCGCACTCACTCCTCATCGAAGTCACACATCATTCACAGATTTTGGAACTCTGTGCAATATACAAGGCGACCCGCATTATTAGGCATCGCCTGCATTTTGGAGAAAATGTAAGACTTTTTTGTGCGTCGTATGGTCTTGAAAATATAGTTAGTTAGCATTGAGGCTCCCTCCCCAGGTCGCTTATGAGCATACTGGTTAGGTTACGAGTAGATAGCGCAAACGCTTGAAAGCCCAAGCATCTGCTCACAGCGGTGGCTTCTGCAATGTTTGTGTGTGGCAATGACCATGTGTGCTCGCCTTGCATTTCAGTCTTTTACCATATTTTTCTTTCCCACTCCGTCAACTACATATGCCAAATGAATTATTTTTGAAAAAAAATTATTATATGGGGAAAATATGAAAATACGAAAAGCAAACACAGCTAGGGTTTGAACTTTGTATGTGCGCTGCATACAATTGCTGTGCACTGAGAGAGTGAGAGTCTGAACTTCCTCAACCACGCAGCTTGCAGGGAAGTGTGGTCACAAAAAAACTGATTGCATTGGGGGTTTTTTGCTTCATGTATAAACACAAGTGATTTACATTAAAATTACAATCAAACAAAATACAAGAAAAGTTGGGACTATCCTGATCCGACTTACCTTTCTCAACTTGAATTCTGAATGCAGTCTTGTTTCTTCTACCGTACTCCATTCTGCAGACATATCAATCACTAAACAAGACCTTCAAAATGAGCATGATAAAAAAATGAAATGCCAGACTTAAATGTATTTCAAAAAGCATTTGGATTTAACGATCATTACAATTTAATACAAAACTTATTGTCTAAATATCACTGTTGAATTTAAGGTTTTTGGAATGTGCACATTTACAATTTTACAAAGTTTAGAACTTTGTCCACTTTCAATGTAACTAACATTAACAGCACCTTGTACCAAAGAAAATGCAACAGTAAAGACAATCCTTTTATTTTTGCTGACCTTGAAAGATAAATTTGACAATAAACAAATAAATAAATAAATAAACACTTCAACTTTTATTTTCTAAAACGTGTAGCTGTTTAACAACTTAGTCAAGAGTAAGGCATTGTAGCCTGTAGCTGACTATAGCTATAGAGCCACAACCTCCAAAGATCTTAGGAGCTAAGTTTTCTGGGGCTTTCTGCCCCCGGTCGGGTCACCCATAGCAAACACAACCTAGGTGAGGGACCACACCAAACACAGTTCCCGCGGGCTCACATCCACAAGGGGCTTAATATCCTTAGAAGTCTTGCTTGTCTCCTCCTTCCTTCATTTAGTCAGTAGTTAACGATGCTTTTGGCATTATCTTCGTTTCTTAATGGGTGCACAGAGCTCACAAAGTAATAGTCTGTTTGAGTGTGTGTTGGTGAACGCACATTGTCAATTAGTGTCAGGCAGAACTCTTTTATGTTACAATTGGTTTCTGCTAATAATCACCAATAGATGGCATAGGGACACTAACAGGGAAACAACTCAATGGGAACTATCAAGAGACTGTAACTAATACCATATATAATTTGCATCGGATTATAGGGCGCATTGTCGGCTTTTGGGAAAATTGAATGTTTTTAGGTGCGCCTTACAGTGCGGAAAATACAGAACATACATATCATGTTTTCTGAAACTAAGTGATATATAGGCAGTGGTAAAGCGATTGATTTGTTTGCATTATTGTTGTAATCTGCAGTTTAGTATGTGCCTTTACTGTGTAATATATACTAATATTCTGCTTGATACTCTGCACATTTTCGCACAGGTGTCATTGGGTGGTACTAAGGCACAATGGTAATCTGACATTACAGAAAGTCTTTCGAAACTGATATGTCATGTCCTTAGTTTATCGTAGTTGCTTGTTATTGCAATACTAGAGTAGCCTGTACTATTGGGGACAAATTCCTTGTGTGTTCTACATACTTGGCCAATAAAGATGATTCTGTTTCAGATTATGTTGTTCTGGTGTATGCTTCCCAAACGTCAAAGTATTTCGTAAGCTTGGATCTGTAATTGTCATTGATAAACTGTCTTTGACAGTCATTATTGCTTCATTTGCCTTTACTATTCTATAATGCATAATAGATCTGATATTTGCTGAAATGAAGATTAATTGTTGAAAATTACATTAGAAAAGGAGCTTGAAAAAAAATCTCAAATCAGATCGGAATCGCTGTTTTGAGGGCGGGGGTGCAGCCATCTCGTTACTTCTGCGTCCCGCATCCTAGATGCACAATTTTCCCGCGGGAAGCACAGTTCCAAATAATGTGCGTTTTTGGGACGCAAGGAAATTTCTCAGTCAAAACAAAACAAAACAAAACAAAAAAAAACTACGGCAGGCCTGATGATGATTTCACGGTAACGATTGTTACCGGTAGCGTGTCGTTTCCTTAGCGTCATTTTGACGGTACCGAAAAATCGTTTAACCATAAAAGACACCGCACACGAGTTGACTGTACGCGATCAAATCTCTCCTGTGTGATCAACGAGATTTCACTGTGCCTGTATGTGTGTTTGTGGTGTGGTGTGTGAGAGTGTTTCTTCTAATTTACTTTCGTTTTGTTTTGAGTGTGTGTGTGGG